TACAATTTATTTGTACTGAATGTTCAAACGGGACGACGCTCTTCTTTTTCACATCACGTGGAAGCACTTTTTTCTTATCTAAAGTTCATTGTATTGTACATTTGCCAAAGAAGCTCTAGACTGAAATTTATTTATCTAATTTAGAAATGTCGCTAACCTAGCAACAAAAAAACCATAAGCATTCTTTGGCTTCTCTCTCGTGTAATAATCAATGATTTCACTAAAAACAAAGTTACTTTCGAAGTAATACCGGGGTAAGTTATATTTTAAACGTTAGTCAAACGAAACTTCGATTTATAGCAAACACTTGCGAACTGCGAAGACTATTCAGATTGTTTGCAAAATATTGCGGATCTCGCTGGCACCATTTATGATGTGTGCCCCACAGCCACACCGTCCACTACAACGCCAGTGCCATAATCACCGCTCTTTGAACGGCTAATCACTTTGTCTTCCCCATTCCCCAACCCTTAATACTAGATTTTCTCTAGTAGTTCAGTCTCTTTCTTAAAAACAGCCATCCATTGTTCCATTCTATTCGTATTTTTCTTTACTGTTATAATAAAAGTTTGACTTTCTACTTGTGTCATTTTGATTTTGATTCCTCACAGCTATTAAAAAGCACTTGTGTAAGGTGTAAGGTCACAATCACAGATATTCATATGTGTGAAATCATTTCGTCAGCTGCGTGATTCCTAGGGTGATTCATTAGGATCAGTCGATCATCATGTTCATTTTCGAAAAATTTTGACAACACAAGAAAGTAGTGGCAGGGTTATGGGAGCCTTGTTGAAAGGAGTATCGACCCGGGACCGGAGAATAAATTTGGATTTGAGTTTTCGATGGTCATTGTTGAGAGTTCGACGAGTTGATGTGCACAGTCCAACTGATATTGATAGACTTTCCTAGTGCTGCACGCGTAAAAGCCAAGTTTCTTTAGAAAAAAGAATAGAAAAACTGAATTTCTACCTGGAAAAAGCAATGAAAATGAACTGAAAATGAAAATGAAAATGAATGGTTGGGTTCGAACTCTTGGCTTTTGCTGTACAACCACTCAACCACTCGGCCATCGATGAATGGTTTGCGCTGAAAGAAAATTCGGCTTAAAAGAAGAGGCTCAAAATTTTTATACCAGTTTGGCGGTGATTACCTATCATTCTGCAGCTAATCTTTACATTATTGGAATCAGCGTAAAATTCTGCGTCCAATGGCCATCGGAAAAGGCCACAGAACCCAATCATTCTTCCTTTGTAAATATTAGCTTGGTAAATATGAAAGGTCATTTTTTACAAAAATCTTGCCCGGTCGTTACGAAGAACATTCGCTGTCTAGGACTTTTCTCAATAATATGTCAAAATGTGCTTATGTTTTTTTTTTTGCAAAAACTTTTTTGTTTTCATAATATTTGGATTGTTTCAGCTCGACAAAGATGGATGACCAAAAATTTAAAATCAGGGCTGCCATAAAATAAAATCAGGGCTGCCATATTCTTTGAATTCACCTTAAGCAAGAAAGCTACGGAATGCCATCAGAACATTTGTACTGTTTTTGGAGCAGCTGCTCTTACTTACAAACAATGTTGTGTTTGGTACGATCGCTTCAAAACCGGTAACGAGTCATTGGAAGATGCACCACATGGAAAGCCACCGGTTACTTTGGACGATCAACTGTGACTGAACGAGGTCGACTTGGATCCATCGCAAAAGTGTAGAAAATTAGCAGAAAAGTTTGGATGCACTCATGTTACCATTCAAAATCATTTACACGTTCTTGGGAAATCATATCGAGGCGGGAAATGGCTCCCCCACGACCTCACTGACGCCCACAAGGCCATACGACTCACCCTGAGCTCTTTGCTTCTCCGCAAAGCTCACCATCGTGACTTTTGGAAGTATTTTTTTATTGGAATCAGCGTAAAATTCTGCGTCCAATGGTCATCGGAAAAGGTCACAGAACCCAATCATTCTTCCTTTGTAAATAGAACAAACCTTTGAATAGAATGTATTGAGCAATATCTAAATTTTAGAATGGTAGCGCATTGCAACGAGAATCGTCTATTGGAAATTTCTGTAGAGCCACATGCTCTTCCTTTTAAAGGCTTTCAAAGGCTGCCGTTCGCTTTCAAAGTGGCTAGACAAAAGATGGAAATCGAGGGCTTCGTAGCGGATTAGATGCAATTCTTCTCGATTCTTCAACCATTGTTGCATGTTTGTTGCAATTCAGGGAAAGCAAGTAGTTCCTTCGCTCGAATAGCGCCCAAAATATCAATCTCGGGCCATAAATATCGTTTTTGTGGGAAACTGATCTGAGATGAAACAAGCTCATTCTTATTTATCATTTACTTCGACTTAATTTTGCTGCTTGTTTGTTTAGGAGTCTATTCTCACATTCGATGAACTCATATATCGAGCCATGAACGCTACCGTAGCCGTCTCATCAATTTCTCAAACACAACCGAAATCTTCAAAATTCAGAGAAAAATCTTTCGCGACGAAGGCGCTAAATTTTATGTTCTAATCAGCAATAAAGTCATCTTCGCTTGCCAACAAACGACAAAATGTAAGTACTTTGTTTGGGACAGGGAAGAAGTTATTCCCTGGCGAGAGAGGACTATCAAGGCACTTCTATACGTTGATCAACTGGATCGAGTCGCTTGGCCAAAGAAGCCAAAAATGGGTTTTCTTCAAGTGGCATAGCTTTTGGGAGAAGGGAAACGCTTTGCGCAATAAATGGCAACATGTTATACTCAAGGGAAAGTTATACGATGAGCACTGGGATCCTAAGCCCGAGATTCTTTATTGCTGATTAGAACATAAAATTTAGCGCCTTCGTCACGAAAGATTTTTCTCTGAATTTTGAAGATTTCGGTTGTGTTTGAGAAATTGATGAGACGGCTACGGTAGCGTTCATTGCTCGATATATGAATTCATCGAATGTGAGAATAGACTCCTAAACAAACAAGCAACAAAATTAAGTCGAAGTAAATGATAGAAAAGAATGTGCTTGTTTGATCTCAGATCAGTTTCCCACAAAAACAATATTTATGGCCTAAGACTGAGATTTTGGGAGCTATTCGAGCGAACGAACTACTTGCTTGCCCTGAATTCACAAATCCTTTTAGTAGGTTTTGTTCGAAAACGAGAAGAGAAACACTTTTGATCAAGGTTATTTCTGGATTCACATCGTTTTGGGAAAGTTCTCCAAAATCGAGACACCAAACTGTCGGCAAGAGCAATTGAGAGATCTCATTGAAAGGTCAGCTTTAGTAGAGGAATAAAAAAAATTAAACCAAAATTTTGCAGACGCACAAGCTTCACTCGATTCATTCGACCATCGGTGAAGCAAGCGTTTGCTAAGATTGTACAAATTAACGTATTGATAAAATCCGAATTTTTAGAGAGATTATTCAGAAAATCAAATCTTGACTACGTACGATCACTTGCCATCACTTCTCACTTGCTCGATATATGAGTTCATCGAATGTGAGATCTGAAGGCATGGGTTCTGGAGAGGCGATGAAAACAATAAGCTGTAAATGGACCGGCAATGAAACGAGAAGCCATCAAGATTGCAACTAAACTTGGGATTCGTCCGTTTTCACCCAGCAATTCGTGGATTCAAAATTTCATGAGGCGGAATGGTTTGTCGATGCGGCGGAGGACGAGCGTTGGACAACCACTTCCAAAGGACTGTCAAAGCAAGAAATCATCTTTTCGATCGTTCTGTCGAGAATTTTATGATGTTTCACCAAACAATTTTGGATATTTAGGCGAGGTTCCGGTTCCATTCGACATTGTTTCCAACCGAACAGTCGAAGTAAAAGGAAAGGATGATATTTCAATTTCGAAAGATTTTTCTCTGAATTTTGAAGATTTCGGTTGTGTTTGAGAAATTGATGAGACAGCTACGGTAGCGTTCATTGCTCGATATATGAGTTCATCGAATGTGAGAATAGACTCCTAAAAAAACAAGCAACAAAATGAAGTCCAAGTAAATGATAAAAAGAATGTGCTTGTTTCATCTCAGATCAGTTTCCCACAAAAACGATATTTACGGCCTGAGATTGATACCATTTTTTCCTGCATACCGGAATGAGGTCAAATGTCGAAATACATTCGAGCGTATTCGAGCAAAACGAGGCAGTAGATCGTGTCGAAAGTCTATCAATATCAGTTGGACTGTGCACATCAACTCGTCGAACTCTCAACAATGGCCATCGAAAACTCAAATCCAAATTTGTTCTCCGGTCCCGGGTCGATACTCCTTTCCATAAGGCTCCCAAAACCCTACCGCTACTTTCTTGGGTTGCCAAATTTTTTTGACAATCAATGTGATGATCGAGTGATCCTAATGCATCACCCTAAAAATCACGAAGCTGACGAAATGATTTCACACATATGAATATCTGTGATTGTGACCTTACACCTTACACAAGTGCCTTTTAATAGCTGTGAGGAATCACGCAAAATGACACAAGTAAATAGTCAAACTTTTATTCAAACAGTAAAGAAAAATACGAATAGAATGGAGGAAAATAAGAATAGAATGAAACAACGGATGGCTGTTTTTAAAAAAGAGACTGAACTACCAGAGAAAATCTAGTATTAGGGGTTGGGGAATGGGGAAGACAAAGTGATTAGCCGTTCCAAGAGCGGTGATTATGGCACTGGCGTTGTCGTGGACGGTGTGGCTGTGGAGCACGCATCATGAATGGCGCCAGTGGTCCACGCAATTTGTTGCAAACTGTGCAGTGCGTGAGAGGATACCGATGGAGCAATGATTATTAGATATTTATTCGGAATATAACACAATTACTAGTCTAGCGAAAAAATATAATAAAATAGAATCAATCGTTGGTTAAGTGTTTCAAAGCCAAATGAAAAGCAAGACAAAGTGGCCTCCCTCCCCTTGATCACATAAAACGATCTTTAGAGGAAGGAAAGGAGAATCTGAGATATTCAAAATCAAGACATTAAACAAGATTTCACAGGAAAGAGCTACTTTCCTGAACACGGACAACTTGCATAAACATAGCAGTACCAATCGCCAAGTGTTTCCTATAAATCGAAGCTTTCGTTTGACTAACGTTTAAAATGTAACTCACCCCGCCAAATTGCCATTTTCCAGCAGGCGAGCAGACAAAAGGAGCTTCTGGCTTGGTACTTACCTGAAGGTTTTAAAGTTCTTTTCTTATTATTGAATATAGTTGTTGTTACACTTGAATCTTACTAATATTTTCATTTCCGCTTACCCATCCACAACCACAGACATAGCCGAGAAAACCCGTTTGTCCAGCCACTGCGCTGCCGCCGATTTGTACCTGAAAAATCAGATTTTATCAAAAACAAAAGGTAATAGTAATAAGGCGAAAGAAAAAGCGGGAAAGACAAAGAGGAAGAAAGAGAAAGAAAGTGAAACAACAACTCACAACGTCAACTGCAGATCCACTGCAATTCCCGCTCACTTGAGCGCAGCCAGTGACAGAATCATAACTGCAATCATATTTCTATTCTTTCGATACACATGCCTCGTAACTAACCTGAAAACTGGTGTGAAAGTGGCTGGGCTTGGGGGTCTTCTAATAGCAAGAAGTTGAGCAAGTGTGCAAGAGTCGCATCCTGAATGATTCGATCATGAAAAGACTGCTGACTCTAATATTTTTTTCGAGATTTTGATATAACATACTTATAGGCGGGACTTAACCTTTTGCCTCATAACTTTGGATGGATGTTATATTTTGAGTTGATTTTGGTATCATTCAACGCGTAATCTTATTCTACATCGAATGATAGTCAAAATGGCAGGGTTGATGCTGAGAAAAACCTTAAATTGCCAACGGCAAAAAATAACCGCCAGATTTTTTCGTTACAAGTCTATAACATACCATAAGTTGCGGTAGTGGTAGTGGATTTCGCTGTCGTCTTTCTTGTAGTAGTGGTAGGTTTTGTTGTTGCTTTTTTAGTAGTCGCTTTTGTTGGCGCCTTCTTTGTCGTGGCTTTGGTTGTCGCTTCTTTAGTGGTCGGTTTAGTTGACGCCTTTTTGGTAGTCAGTTTCGTTGTCGCTTTAGTTGTGGTCTTCTTCGTGGTGAGTTTAATAACACAAGTTGGCGCCTTATAATCGGTGGGCAAGGTCACGTTTCCACAGATATACTCATTTCGATTTGTGTCCCACCACTTCTCGTACCTAGCAGCACACGTGGACTCCGGAAAAGTACACATGGCTATCGGACAGGGAACAGTACGCGAACGAACGCCGCTAAACGATCTGTTTTAGGAAATTTTTCGATTCATTTGAATCTTTTAGACTTTACCACTTTCATTTCGATTAAACTGGCTATTTTCGGTTTGTGTAATCACAAAACAAACCGAAAGTGGCCAGTGTAATCGAAACATTTGCCAACTGATCAATCAGATCAATCAATCAATGCAATAGATCAATATCAACTTTAAACTTTATAGGAAAGGCTGACCTGCACGGGCATCCATTATCGCTTGATGTGCACGTTCTTATCTGATTCTTTTTACCATTCAATCCACAGCGCTTTGTGCAATCCGTAGTGTCCCTCCAACGCGACCAAATCCCTGAAATGACCCTCTTCTGCTTCAATCTGAGAGTTCACACTAACCACCAGTGGGACATTCGGTACAGATGGGAAGCGAGAGAATCGCTGGCAACGCTGAAACTTATTTTTTTTTATCGTATTTAGCTTAAGTTTAAAACTCAAAATCATTTACCGTGAGACACGAGAACGGCGAATAGGAGGTACATCAGTTTGGTTGAGAAATGCGTTTGGTCTGAAAAAAGGCCAAACGGGGAATCTTTTATATGGAATCATTTGAATAAAGAACATAGCTTTGAAAATATTCTAAATGGAGGGGCCAAACTTTGAACCAAACCCTCATTGTATTCGCATTCTACACCCATGATCATTCTATTCATCCAGCCGAACGGCGTTGACTTCCCGCAACGAGAACACACTGCCAGTCACCAGGACAACAAAGGACGCGGGACAAAGGACAAAGCCTGACATTTACAAAAAAAGGTCACGGCTTATATTTGGATTACAAAGCTCGGCATTCATCCAGCATCCATACATAACAATGAGTATCTGCAAAAATTTTTTTCTGGTTCAGAATACGACTGTGTTTATGTGACTGTGTTCTGATGTTTATCAGAAAAGTTATAAAACTTTTTGTTAGTAGGTGAGTTTTTGGTTTAAAACTTAAGGAAAACAATAAGGTCTTATTCAATATTCTTCTTTCAGCTCACCGTTGTTGGTCGCTTTCGTAAACGAGGCATCGCCACATATTTGATAAAAGGGCTGAAGGAGACGAGCTTAAGGTAACTTTGACATTGTCACATCTTTCATATTTATTTTCAGGAAAAACTGTTACTTCCTCGATCTGTTTGTCCGCAAAAGTAACGTGGCCGCGATCCGCATCTATGAATCACTTGGATACCTTGTTTATCGGGAATTTTTGGTACTTTGAACTTTGAAAACTTTGAAAGTAATTTTGTTTTTAGTGAAATCATTATTGATTATTACACGAGAGAGAAATCAGAGAATGCTTATGGTTAATTTTTCTGTTGCTAAGTTAGCGAGATTTCTAAATTTGATAAAAAATTGCAGTATAGAGCTCCTTTGACAAATGTACAATACAATCAACTTTAGATAAACGAAAAGCGATTCCACGTGATGTGAAAAAGAAGAGCGTCGTCCCGTTTGAACATTCATTACACACCAACGACGCCGATTGATATCAATACATTTTCGTTCCTCATTATAAGCTACTCTTCTTGATTGTTTTTTTTTTGTTTCTTGTCTCTCAATTGTTTTTCAACGTTTTGACACTATCTACTGCCTCATTTCACTCGAATATTTCGACATTTGACTTCATTCCGGGATGCAAGAAAAATGCTGGGAACTGTTTTTTGTTGAGAAAACAAAAAAAAAACTGTTGCTGCAATGATTTGGTAGTAAGAAATGGTTAATTTCCTTGTTAGTATTGCATTGACTAATTTAGAGTCAAGACAACCAACCGCCTCCATTAAACAGCGAAATGCTTTTCCAATCTTTAAAACTGCACAATGTAGTGGACGAGCTCATCAACATCAATGAGATTCCATTTCAGAACGCCTACTGCACATTGCATACGAAAATTCCTCAATTAGGAAATGAGACAAAGTGTTCTTATCTCATGAGCTCACAAAAATACGAGACGAGCTTTATGATGATAGATTATTTCATGAGTGCTGAGTGTTGTGTGTTGAACGACAGATCGTCGAGGATCCAAATGAGAAGAGCTGTGGCGCCATCTCTTATACACAGATCGGCTCGGGCAAGCGAATTTCATCTACGATGTTGTCCTTTTTTTGTAATCGAAACTCTTTCCACCTCCACCATTAACGCTTTGAATGTGTCAATTTGATCGAAGAACTCGAAAAAATCAGCAAAAATATCCACGTTTTTCGTTTCCATTTCGAGTGCTTTATACAAACTGAATGACTCTTGGTCAAGAATCAGCCAGAAAAGATTTCTCTCAAAAGTGACTTCGCGGAAATGAGCACGTTTGCTGGCGGTTGGCTAGAGAAAGCTGATAAGAGTTTTTGTCGCAAAAATCGGCTCTACAATGAAAACATGCAACAATGGTTGAAGAATCGAGAAGAATTGCATCTAATCCGCTACGAAGCCCTCGATTTTCCATCGTTTGTCTAGCCATTTTGAAAGCGAACGGCAGCCTTTGAAAGCCTTTAAAAGGAAGAGCGTGTGGCTCTGCAGAGAGCGAAATTCTTTTCCAATAGACGATTCTCGTTGCAATGCGCTACCATTCTCAAATCTAGATATAGCTAAATATTAGGTTGGCGACATTGAAATTTCGTTTGCGTTTCTCTTTATGGATTTTAACACTGTGGATACTATTACCGTCGCAATCTCTTCTGTTTTAAAGATATAATTATTGTGCTTTATTACGCGTCTTTTCTTTATTTCCAGTTGAAGAATTTAGTAAAAAAATCTTATAGATGCTAGACGACCTCAAAATATCGACTTCGCATTTGTTGCTGTCGCGATTTCAAACATGAAAAAAAAGCAACTGAATCGCATGAATCACTTTGTAACGTATTTGAGAAAGATGTTATCACTGTTCATCGATGTCAAAACTGGTTCAAAAGATTTCGAAAGGGTGACAGAAGTCTGGAAGATCTGGGACGAGGACAAACAACGATTTGAAGCGGATAATCGAAAGTGATCCGATAAAGACTACATGGAAACTTGCGGAATATTTTAATTGTGATCATAAAACAACCGAAAACCATTTGCATGAATTGGGCAAGCTCAATAAAGCTGGAAAATGGATTCCACATTCATTAAGCGATGCAAGCAAAGCCATCAGAGTTCTTTGTTCAGGAAATTTGCTTAGAATTTTCAAGAATAGTGGATTTTGGGATGCAATTTTAACTTCTGACAAGAAATGGATTCATTATGACAATATTACAAGGATAAGACAATGGCTCAATCCGGGAGAAATTCCAAAGCCAATACCTAAACCAGATTTTCATGGAAAGAAAGTTATGCTGTCGGTTTGGTGGAATACCCGAGGCCTGGTCCATTTCGAAGTGTTAATTTCTGGTCAGACTATTGATGCAAATCTTAAAGAATCTTAATGCAAAAGACAACTAGATCGCGCGGACGCGGTTCTTCGCTCAAAAGGAATTGATCCGACAACGGTGCGATTGTTACAAGACAATGACTGTCCTCACGTTGCCAAAATTACGCAAGAGAAGATTGAGCAATGGGGCTGGGAACTTCTAGTTCATCCGCCTTATAGTCCAGATATTGCCCCGTCTGACTACCATTTCTTTCGAAGTATTCGGCATTCACTCGAAAGCCACAAGTTCCAGAACATCGAAGACATCAAAAAATGGGTCTCTGCTTTCTTTCAATCAAAACCAGCACAATTCTTACAAGAGAGTATCCATAATTTGCGTCAAAGATAGAAAAATGTTATTGGTAGCTGGGGGGAATCTATTGTTGATTAATTGTTTCTAGTTTATTTTTACGAATAAATTTTGTTGTTGCTCAAAAACGAAATTTCAATGTCGCCAACCTAATACATTCCATTCAAAGGTTTGATCTATTTACAAAGGAAGAATGATTGGGTTCTGTGACCTTTTCCGATGACCATTGGACGCAGTATTTTACGCTGATTCCCATAAAAAATACTTCCAAAAGTCACGATGGTGAGCTTTGCGGAGAAGCAAAGAGCTCAGGGTGAGTCGTATGGGGGCATCAGTGAGATCGTGGGGGGAACCATTTCCCGCTTCGATATGATTTCCCAAGAACGTGTGAATGATTTCCAATGGTAACATGAGTGCATCCAAATGAAGCTTGGTAAAAATTTCATATTTACCAAGCTAATATTTACAAAGGAAGAATGATTGGGTTCTGTGGCCTTTTCCGATGACCATTGGACGCAGAATTTTACGCTGATTCCAATAATGTAAAAATTAGCTGCAGAATGATAGGTAATCACCGCCAAACTGGTATAAAAATTTTGAGCCTCTTCTTTTAAACCGAATTTTTTTCAACGCAAACGATTCATCGGTGGCCGAGTGGTTGAGTGGTTGTACAGCAAAAGCCAAGAGTTCGAACCCAACCATTCATTTTCATTTTCATTTTCAGTTCATTTTCATTGCTTTTTCCAGGTAGAAATTCAGTTTTTCTATTCTTTTTTCTAAAGAAACTCGGCTTTTACGCGTGCAGCACTAGGAAAGTCTATCAATATCAGTTGGACTGTGCACATCAACTCGTCGAACTCTCAACAATGGCCATCGAAAACTCAAATCCAAATTTATTCTCCGGTCCCGGGTCGATACTCCTTTCAATAAGGTAAAAAACCCTACCACTACTTTCTTGGGTTGACAAAATTTTTCGAAAATCAAAATGATGATCGAGTGAGCCTAATGCATCACCCTAAAAATCACGAAGCTGACGAAATGATTTCACACATATGAATATCTGTGATTGTGACCTTACACCTTACACAAGTGCTTTTTAATAGCTGTGAGGAATCACGCAAAATGACACAAGTAAATAGTCAAACATTTATTAAAACAGTAAAGAAAAATACAAATAAGAATAGAATGGAACAATGGATGGCTGTTTTTAAAAAAGAGACTGAACTACCAGAGAAAATCTAGTATTCGGGGTTGGGGAATGGGGAAGACAAAGTGATTAGCCGTTCCAGGAGCGGGGATTAATGGCACTGGCGTTGTAGTGGACGGTGTGGCTGTGGGGCATGGAGCAAGAGCGGTGCCAACGGTACGTGCAATACCATGCAAACAATCTGGCTCGGAATAGCAGTACCAATCGCCAAGTGTTGGCTATAAATCGAAGCTTTCGTTTGACTAACGTTTAAAATATTAACTCACCCCGACCATATTGCCATTTTCCAGCAGGCGAGCAGAGAAAAGGAGCTTCTGGCTTGTTATTTACCTGAAGGTTTTAAAGTTCTTTTCTTATTATTGAATATAGTTGTTGTTACATTTGAATCTTACTAATATTTCATTTCCGCTTACCGATCCACAACCACAGACATAGCCGAGTAGACCAAAGTTTCCTATCTCTGGGTTGCCCCCCATATGTACCTGAAAAATCAGATTTTAACAAAAACAAAAGCGAATAGTAATAAGGAGAAAGAGAAAGAGGGAAAGACAAGGAGGAAGAAAGAGAAAGAAAGTGAAACAACAACTCACAAAGTCATCAACTGCAGATCCACTGCAATTCCCGCTCACTTGAGCGCAGCCAGTGACAGAATCATAACTGCAATCATTTTTCTATTCTTTCGATACACATGCCTCGTAACTAACCTGAAAACTGGTGTGAAAGTGGTTGGGCTTTCAACTGGTCTAAAAGCAAGAAGTTGAGCGAGTGTGCAAGGGTCGCATCCTGAATGATTCGATTATGAAAAGACTGGTGACTCTACTATTTTTTTAACGAGACTTTAGGCGGGATATAACATACTTATGGGCGGGACTTAACCTTTTGCCTCATAACTTTGGATGGGTGTTATATTTTGAGTTGATTTTGGTATCATTCAACGCGTAATCTTATTCTACATCGAATGATAGTCAAAATGGCAGGGTTGATGCTGAGAAAAACCTTAAATTGCCAACGGCAAAAAAGAAACGACAGATTTTTTCGTTACAAGTCGATAACATACGATTAGTTGTGGTAGTGGCAGTGGCTTTGGCTGTCGTCTTTCTTGTAGTAGGTTTTGTTGTTGCTTTTTTAGTAGTCGCTTTTGTTGTCGCCTTCTTTGTCGTGGCTTTGGTTGTCGCCTTTTTGGTAGTCGGTTTCGTTGTCGCCTTTTTGGTGGTCGCTTTAGTTGTGCTCGTCTTCGTAGTGAGTTTAATAACACAAGTTGGCGCCTTATAATCGGTGGGCAAGGTCACGTTTCCACAGATATACTCATTTCGATTTGTGTCCCACCACTTCTCGTACCTAGCAGCACACGTGGACTCCGGAAAAGTACACATGGCCACCGGACAGGGAACAGTACGCGAACGAACGCCGCTAAACGATCTGTTTTAGGAAATTTTTCGATTCATTTGAATCTTTTAGACTTTACCACTTTCATTTCGATTAAACTGGCTATTTTCGGTTTGTGTAATCACAAAACAAGCCGAAAGTGGCCAGTGTAATCGAAACATTTGCTAACTAATCAATCAGATCAATCAATCAATACAATAGAATAATATCAACTTTAAACTTTATAGGAAAGGCTGACCTGCACGGGCATCCATTATCCCTTGATGTGCACGTTCTTATCTGATTCTTTTTACCATTCAATCCACAGCTCTTTGTGCAATCCGTAGTGTCTCTCCAACGGGACCAAATCCCTGAAATGACCCTCTTCTGAATAAATCTTCAATCTGAACCTGATTCAATTTACACTAACCACCAGTGGGACATTTGGTACAGATGGGAAGCGAGAGAATCGCTGGCAACGCTGAAACTTATTTTTTTTATCGTATTTAGCTTAAGTTTAAAACTCAAAATCATTTACCGTGAGACACGAGAACGGCGAATAGGAGGTACATCAGTTTGGTTGAGAAATGCGTTTGGTCTGAAAAAAGGCCAAACGGGGAATCTTTTATATGGAATCATTTGAATAAAGAACATAGCTTTGAAAATATTCTAAATGGAGGGGCCAAACTTTGAACCAAACCCTCATTGTATTCGCATTCTACACCCATGATCATTCTATTCATCCAGCAAACTGGCGTTGACTTCCCGCAACGAGAACACACTGCCAGTCACCAGGACAACAAAGGACGCGGGACAAAGGACAAAGCCTGACATTTACAAAAAAAGGTCACGGCTTATATTTGGATTACAAAGCTCGGCATGCATCCAGCATCCATACATAACAATGAGGATCTGCAAATTTTTTTTCTGGTTCAGAATACGACTGTGTTTATGTGACTGTGTTCTGATGTTTATCAGAAAAGTTATAAAACTTTTTGTTAGTAGGTGAGTTTTTGGCTTAAAACTTAAGGAAAAACAATAATAAGGTCTTATTCAATGTTCTTCTTTCAGCTCACCGTTGTTGGTCGCTTTCGTAAACGAGGCATCGCCACATATTTGATGAAAGGGCTGAAGGGGACGAGCATAAGGTAACTTTGACATTCTCACATGTTTCATATTTATTTTCAGGAAAAACTGTTACTTCCTCGATCTGTTTGTCCGCAAAAGTAACGTGGCCGCGATCCGCATCTACGAATCACTTGGATACATTGTTTATCGGGAATTTTTGGTACTTTGAACTTTGAAAACTTTGAAAGTATTTTTGTTTTTAGTGAAATCAGTATTGATTATTACACGAGAGAGAAATCAGAGAATGCTTATGGTTAGTTTTTTTGTTGCTAAGTTAGCGAGATTTCTAAATTTGATAAAAAAATTGCAGTATAGAGTTCCTTTGGCAAATGTACAATACAATCAACTTTAGATAAACGAAAAGCGATTCCACGTGATGTGAAAAAGAAGAGCGTCGTCCCGTTTGAACATTCAGTTGAACAACCAACGACGCCGATTGATATCAATACATTTTCGTTGTTCATGATAAACTACTCTTCTAAATTGTTGTTTTTGTCTCTTGTCTCTCAATTGTTTTTCAACGTTTACGGGTTTTTCTATTTTTTTGGCGTTTATGTTACTTTGTTGTTCTGTTTTATAGGTTGGGTTTATTATATTGTGTTTTGTTGTGAATAAAGAGTTGAAAGTTTGGATGGTTTTTAGTTGTCGGATGGTTTAAACCATTTCTAAAATCTCTCTTTTTGTCTTGTCGACGTCTGTGCAAACCGTTTAACACCACAAATTAGCCAGCTAAGTCCTCGTTTCCATTATGGCTTGACTTGATTGTTTGGCCCCGACTTTATTCACTCTTACGGGTCGTCTCGGTAACTGGGAGAATGATGTCTTAACATCACCTATCATATTTCCTGTATAACCCCGTCTGAGCAGAAGCGCAACCCTTTGATCTCCACGAATCCTCAACTATTTCGCTTCACTCTTTTTATTTTCAAGTTTTTCGCTAGTTTCGAGTTTCAGTGCAGATCAAAGGGACCATCGACTCGAAAGTGAAACGATCTGGTGAAAGTATGGTGTTTAATCGATCTAAGCAGATTTGGAACGCATGAAATGACGCATAAAAGGGCTTCGTAAAGTGATTGTTGCCTTATTTCTAGCTTTACAACCGCTTTATTGATGAAAACAAAGTGACGAAACTGTCAAATCGACTTTTTGATAAAGCTTTGAGGGAAAAGGAACCAGCGGTGAAACAATCAAGGTTCGCACCTGATACAAGACGTTTATCCACTAGACTACAGCCGTTCCTTCTTCCAACACGTCAGGGACTTTATAAGGTAAGTGCCAAAACTTCCGTGCCAAATATCTTGCGTTTCGGGGAACGAGGGCAAAAGTTATATAGATATTCGTGATCAGCATGGTTGATTCTATAAGATCCATTTGGTCCCAGCTAATTCGAGATGCTGACCTGAAGGACCTCCTTTGTTAGTCGGAGCACTATCAAGCTTTGATCACTGCTTGACAACGACGCGGCATATTTTCAATCAACTTGTGTACACCGTCCAACAATCACAACTTCGTAAAGTGATTGTTGCCTTATTTCTAGCACTACAACCGCTTTATTAATGAAAACAAAATGACGAAACTGTCAAATAATTCGACTCTTTGATATCAAAGGAATCAGGATAGATTCGGCTTGAGTTCTTTGTTGGAGTCGAGGTCTCTCTTTCCAAATATCTTTCGAACCAATCGACAATTTGAGGCTAAAAGATTTTCGTTGTGACTAGGATTTGTTATAGACATGGGCAAAAATATCATAATCTTGATCGAGTCGTAGCCTCTAAAATGTGGATGATTTCGAAAAACGATCGTAATGTTAACGTAAATAATTGTCAAATCCGTTTATTTCGGAGATCGTTCGATTTTTCTCGAAAACCCTCACAAAATGAGACAAATGAAGAATGGTTTGCTCAAAATTTAGCGAGATTACGGTCGTTTTCGAAAATATCCACATTTAGTGCACCATTGCTTGTCTTTACTTTAGATTACGATACTTTTTCCCATGTACTTTTTCCCAGCTCTCTTTGTCTCACCTTGATTTTCTCATTCCATTTGACGCGAAGCCGATATTCCTCGAAGGTCTCCTCCCAAATGGACATCTCGGCTGCCTCTTGTGGAAGTGTTGAGCGCATTTGATTGATCTGAAGACTCTTCCAACAGTGAAAACTTTGACAAGATCTGATAAGATTTTGACGATTTTCAAACGAGTGAAAACGGAGATGAACCCCACGCAACGCCTTCTTTGTCTAGTTTGTTTTAATCACATCGACTGGATCAGAAATTTCAGAAAGTCTGCAAACAGTATGGGCGATATGGCCAATTGTCTCAAGCTTGTCTCTTCAAGGCAGAGTTTGGTGTTCTTAAATGTAGATTTTCGACTATCTCCGAGCCTACATTTGCATTGCTGTAAATTTCAAACAATGCTCGCCCCTGGATTGCTCTAAAGGAATCCCAAAATGAATCCTCATGTCCAAGGTGCAGAAACCTCAGAAGAGAGATATTTCTTCCAATTCTTTCTAGTTAGAACTACAATGCTTACAATTCTTACGTTATAGTTAGACATATGATAGACGTATTGATTGAATGTCAAAGTTGATTTGTTGCGAAGATTATGTTCGGCAAAATCAAATTGATTGAATGGTGGAGTGACAAAGTTAAAGCTTTTTATTGTCCTATATCGATGATTCCCTGATCCCTAATCTAAAGACTCACTCTCCGAATATCGTCCTCATTGCTGACGGCTTTCAGCAACCATGAGTAGACGTCGAGCATGGCACTCCATGATTTGTGGAGTCTTGAAAAGAAACAAACAAATAACGTATAACGATAAGCAGTAACTATAAAAAGGTGAAGAGAATCTCAACCAATCATTATTGTTCCTTTTTTCAGAGTAAATAGTCATATCAAAGATTTTGTGATGATTTGTAGAACTGATTAGCAATGATTGATGAAACCAAATCTTCACCTAAACAGCCACTTAGACTTTAACCACAATTCACTTCAGATATGTTTTATCTTCCCCATTGTCACCAACCTCTCATGAATCCTCTTCCCATTTTTGATGAGGAATTTGATAGCATCTTTTCCGACATTTGGATGTTGACTCAATTGAGGTAGCATCGGGACGAGACGTTGAGTCTGCGTTTCATCGAGCAATCCATTTAGAGAAATCATTCGACCATCTTCAATCAATCCATTCAGAATCCTATAGAAAAGGATGCCTTTAGAAAAGTCTTGTCACTCACATTTCCGGGTATTTCCATATCCGAGAAGTAAATAGAAAAGCCACGAGGGTTTTCACAGCGTTGAGATCTTCTGGAAAAGAAGAATAGAATGCTTGAGTCTCAGTCTCAGATGAGGAAAAAATTTCCGGAATATTAGATCTGAAGCTGAGTTGCTATTGGCAGTACTTTTGGAATTCTATTTTCTTTCTATCTTTGGTAAATCATCTTCATTTACGTTGGAATTATGTTGAAAACAGGGCTAAGGTAACCTGGGGTAGGGACAAATCTTTTAAGACTACATTGACCGCCAATGCTCAAAATCATCGAATCTGAAGTGAGGCTCAGCTCAGTTAAATCGGGCGCGAAAAATCGTCCACCCCCAAGATGAGATGTGGAGCTCGGAACCCACGAGGGGTACTGAGCGTTCGAGGAGGGCTTGTGTGCGACCAGCCAGCGGCTTTCCATTGAGTACCGGGGCCTTAATTGGGGCCAGGGACTACTGAAAGGCGCTCGGAATTCGTAAATATTGCATAAAGGTTGATTTTCTTCCTTCTCAAACCTAACCTTCATCGAGGAGCCGCTTGTACTTCAACTCAAGCTCGTCGGCGCCGATCTTATCGCGATAAAACCCACTAAATGTACCGTTGTAGGCCATCTACATATAAGAACACCAAACTCTGCATTGAAGAGACAAGCTTGAGACAATTGGTCATATCGCCCATACTGTTTGCAGACTTTCTGAAATTCCTGATCAAGTCGATGTGATTAAAACAAACTTGACAAAGAAGGCGTTGCGTGGGGTTCATCTCTGTTTTCACTCGTTTGAAAATCTCGCGAAGTCTCGTCGACAAAACACTCCGTGCCGCTCTGTTCAATTCGAGTTTCTAGATGAGGAGTGACTAAAGTTTTGAGGGAAAGTAACTTTTCCAAGTCGAGAAATGGTGAAATCGAGGACAAGGGAGTAGGGGACTCTGCCGATGTCGGCCATCGCAAACAGATCGTCGTAAAGAATCGCTCGCGAGAGTGGAGACAGCGCCTGACAACTTTCGGTCACCTTGTCGAAGAGTTATACTTTCTTATTCGTAACATAGCCAACTGATAAGTCAGATGACTCGTTAAACTGGACAAAAAGGGTCAATCTCGTTAATAGCCAAGCACCGACAGGAAATCTTATTCTCGTGATTTGGTGACCAGTTTGATGTCAAAATAAGTTCAATATCTGACGATCTCAAGAATTAGAGCCGTATAAAACTTGTGTTCTCTCCCGAGACAACCAACCGTTTCATCAATTGCCTCTAATACTCGCTTCCACTCATTCCCATAACAGATCCGAGTGTAGCCTCGGCCGTCGAAATTGAGAATCGGTAACGAGTCGATCGAGATATTCGACAATAGGTCTGAATAGAAGATTTCATCGAACATTAATTCAATTTACCATTTAATCGTTCCTTATCACACGTAAAAACCCTGTTACTTTCGATTTCGATCGAAATCGGAAAAGTTCGATGACTGAAATTAGTTTTGTGAGGAAATTGAAAGAGATTTACATCTTGGGAAACTGGGAAATCTCTAGACCAATACTCGATGAGTCGTAGAGTTTTTCAGTGAACGAATAACTTCCATTTTGATGTCGATTCAGCATGAGAACTGGGAGACCAGGCTGGGAAAACAGTTTTAAGCAGTCATTTATCGGAAAGTAGTTCCAAAAAATCATACCACGTGTAGATGATCTCGTAGAACCGTGTGTACATTCTCCCATAAAGCCATATCGGTGCTGTTGAAAAGATCTCGAGACCAAATGTCCTCGCTGTTGACTGTGCCGTGTTGATGTTTGATGAGATAGTTCTGAATATCGATGACTTCTTGAATAACTTCTTGTGGCCGAAGGTTTGCTTTCAGATTAGAGCAACCATCTCCTTCTATAGCAACCATATAAGATTTTGACTGTCTACAGAGTGCGTCATAATTATGCATTTCAATATCATAGAATTTCTATGAGATTTCAAAAAAAACTCCCACTTTCAAATAGGCAAAGAAGTTGGAATGGCCGAGCATTTTGTACATTGAGAAGAGACCGAAACCTCCTTTGGCGTAGGTCAACGGGTTGATCATTGCTCGGATCTCTCCCGGGGTTCTCGGCCATATCTGAACATCGATATCCGATGATCGTCCATCCCTTCAACCCACATTGTATTGATCTCCTTGATCCACTTTTTCCACAACGGCTCTTCTTGGTAATCGGGCATCGCGTCTCGTTGCGGCTTGCCGTTTATCGGAGAACATAAATTCGATTATCTGAATTGAATTGATGGGGAATTGATGATTGCTCGATATTTCAATGCTAACTTTCAGACGATTCTTGGAATGATTGGATAAAATCGTTAAAGAGGATCTGTGTCCTCGGTTTTTGTCTTCTCAAATCTAACGATAAGTCCATTTCCAGTTCCAGCTCTTCCATCATTCTCACCGCCTCATCTTCGGGCATCCAAAAACGATAAGCGAACAGTTCCATGAAGTGGGCAAATCCCTCGTTCAACCACAGTTCATTCCACCATCTCAATGTCACCAGATTGCCAAACCACTAAACAATCAACGGGATGATAACATCGTATCGTTTTCACTAGCCTTCGAACTGCTAAAAGTCTGTCTCTAACATTATTGGCCGTGAGATTGCATCGATTTTCTAATAGATTCAAAACAAGCTATTGATCCAATCAGAACTCTGTTTTTATGGTAAAACAGTCAAGAATAACATTTGTCTGCTTTTAAAAGATCAACTGAAATTCCTCATCCACTCGATCAACCTGATGAGCGATCTCGTGAGCCATCAATCGGCGAAGCACTTTGCTCTGTTTGTCTTGAACTCCGTCAACTAGGAGAATCTAGATTGAGAGAGTTTTTGTTAAGCCTTTAGTCTCACTGGTTCGCTGAAGACGATAAGACCCCAATTTTCCATGGCTCCGTGCTCGAAATCGGGAACGGCGAAGAGATCTGAAGTCGGGTTTCTCGTTTACAAGCTAGACCTATGCCAAACAACCAAGTTTCGACATCGGATATGGCATTTTGAGGAGTTTTTCGAAGAGGTCGAGCGTCTGGAAAGGAATTTGAATTGCTCCTATAAATTGTCGGTTGTGTACGTACTGCTTACTGCTTACTGATTACTGACACTGCGCATTTCAAGCTCTAAATCAGTCGGATCATCGAAACTCTTTCAGAAACTAAACCTTCAACGATATTAACACCCAAAATTCATAGAAAAACCAAGAACCCCAACAATTTCCTAGGAACTTTTGAACTTTCGGCAAACCGAGAGGCACACTCGATTTTTCAAGGGTTCTGTAGTGTTTGGTTGGGTTTAATGGAAAACAAATTGTGGTTGTGTACATAGTATGCAACGCATAGCGTGTACAACTCAATCTAATTCGATCCAGCGATCTATCAACCCCGAAGACTATTTATTGGGTTGGTGAATTGAGAACTGCCGGCTGTTGTCATATGTGACAGTTTGAGCACTTTCTTCAAAAGAAACCCATTTTGGTGTCAATGGAAAAGTTGTAGAGAATCAAAAATCAAGCTCCAAATTTTCAGAACGATTCAAAAACTGGTTTCCAGGGGATGCCAAATTTACGAATTTTCACAAAACTTGCATTTTAAGCGAAACTACTAAGTGTATCTTTTTGGAAATTTGGCTCTAAGCCTAACTTTTGATTCTCTACAACTTTTCTATTGACACCAAAATGGGTTTCTTTTGAAGAAAGTGCTCAAACTGGGACATCTCCAGTCCTCCATTTTTGAGTCTCACACTTCTCTCACACACAAACCAAAATCCTACTACGAAAGAGGAATCCGCAAATTGCCTGTAAAATGGGGAGAAGTCGTCAATCATAATGGAAAATATTTGGAATGAATTAATGTTTTTATGTTGAATAAATTTTAGTTCAAAGTCCGGCAGTTTTCAATTCACCAACCCAATAGTTCCCCATCTCACCTCAAAAGCCACATCCAATCCCATCTCCACCGAGCCTATTGCTTCTGGTCGAGCGTAGATGCTGATCTGAAAGCAAAAGCTCTTATTGAGTATTGAGATTGAGTTGACCATTGTCCTATTGTTCCTCGCCATCACCCTTTTCGGTGTCCAATTGTGCACAACTAAAGCCAACAGATACGAGGACATTTTTGGGGTCGAATGGAAATCGGATGTCTCCCAGATGTGGCCATTGATTAGGCTGAAAGCAATGTTTTAGATGATGCTGATAATCCTACTCCGAAAATGCTCTTACGTCTTTTTTCGTTTCCGAATCGCGACGTTCGAATTGACTTTGGTGTTGAGGGGGTGATGAATCACGAGATGCCATCTCGCCTAAATCTTGAATTTGCCACTCTACGACTCGTTCGAGGTTCATAAAACGTATACTTTTATGAAGATTAGGTAGTTAACAATGTCGAGATTTGAGATGTGTCACTTATTCTCAAAAAATCTGTCATTAATAATTAGTCTTAATCTTAGCTTGAACTTGCCTACACCCGAAAATTCGCATGAAGTTTCATAAATCTACAGATTAGCTTTGTTGAATTGTTGAGAGCTTTGTTGAATTGTGATAAGGAACCAAATTTAGAAAGATAAGGAACCAAATTTAGAGAAATAAGGAACGAAATCTAGAAAGATAAAGAACCAGATTTAAAAACTGTCATTAATATTCAGTCTTAATCTTAGCTTGAACTCCCCAACTAACTTGTCCACTTGTTGCGTTGTTGGGATTGTGTTAACTTGTGGACAAAAACATAATGAACTGGCTGTTGAAATTCGTTGAGTTTCGTCCAGCACAAACCTTGAAACGCGGTTCGTCAAAACAAGGGACAATCTGTCGAGCATGTGTCGCCTGACTCTGCGTGACAGCTATGTATCGTTTCTCCTTTTTCTTCCCATTATTCCCTTCAGACAACGATCGATAGAGACCGTCGAGACGATTGTTGATCTTTCCCGAATAGCGAATCTTTATCCATTGAATGTTGGGCTAATTGAGAAAAAAACCTCAAGGAAGTAACGTCCCGGATTGATTGGTGTCCCATCGCTGAATCCGACTCGATACAATGTTTCGTTGTAGGTCATTGACATTGGACGAGGCTGAGCTGAATGGTCCTGAATGGGTTTGTTCATAATCTAGATGAGCCAGACTGCGATTGATTCAAACTTGCACTAGAAACCAGCAAGAAATTGTCTTCAACGACTAAACGCCAATTTTAAAGGTCTCCAAGATTACACAAGTTGAGTCAAATACAAACCGATGACGTATTCTGCAATTGACTCAAAGTGGCCTTGATGATCTCGAGCTCATTGACATGCAGCTCGATGCCATCGACTGTCTCATTCACCAGAAGCTGAACATTTGATTCATTTTTAAGCTGCTCACTTCACGTACATCGATCACTACTTTTCCTCGAGTTGTGAATTTATCCCCTTCTTTGAAATGATTTCCATAGCCGGGTAAATAAACGAAAAGCTCAATCGAGTAGCTGAGTGGATGATAGCTCTCATTGGGGATTTGCCAAGATTTGCTGCTGGAAGAGAACAAATTTCGAATCTTGTGCAGAAGTGTGATTACTAGCTTTCAGTTTTCACTTTTGTACTTCAAAAGAATCATTCAATATAGACACTGAGAATAGTTTTGATGCCAGATCTCACATAAACACAAATCCAAAAAGAGAAACTCACAGCCCAGTCTTTTGAGTCTTTTGTCTTTTGTCTTTTGAGTCTTTTGTGAGCACCAAGACGAGAATAACTGAAGAGTATCCAAAAGTTATATTTTCGTAAAGAAATCAGTTCACCGGTCGAGATGAGAAAACAGAAGATTGCGATGATCGTTCGCTTGTTCACCTGAAATTTTAGAGTTGCATGGGAGAAAGGGAAACTCAGACACTCAGACATTCAAACAAAACGTAAAATAACTGTACGTTTACGTAAAGAAATCAGTTCACCGTTTACGTTTACGTACAGTGATCAAAGTCCCAGCTGTATCCTTATCGAGCCCACTCATTTTTTATGAAGATATGGATATCAGAAAACAAAAAGAACTCAGAAATTGCTATGGTTCATCTAGACTTCTAACTATTGGCAAAATGGCAAAATTCTCTTTAATAATAACAAATCTTAATTTCGAAATGAGAAAATGTCGATTTCCTTTCAACACTTACCCCTTTCTTTTGCCTCCCGTCGTCCATTCTCGCCACCATTTCTCACTTCGAGATCATTCACTTCGAGCCTTTGAACCCCAAATCCAAATTGATAACCAACTTTAGATAAAGAGAATCTATCGATAAAACTTGATTGTCCTTTGGGATTTGCAATCATTGGGTTGACCAATAAGTCAAGTGAAAGAAAGGAAGTTTTGCCGTAAAGTTTTAGTTAGCTCTCAGTGTTTATCACTAAAAGAGACAACAGATTTCTTTTATTTCTCACTTTCATTGATTGAGCACACTTTCTTATTCCTTTATTAACTACTTCTTTTAGTGCAAATTTGCCAAATGAACATATTCAGCATGTTATGCTATTTGGGTTCACTAAATGCTCATCTTCAAGCCTAGCTCTAGAGCAAATAACAAAAGTATATGGTTCTTGGAGAGGGACTACCTTTGATCAACGGTTTTACAAGTTTAAGAATCGGAAGAAATCTTTGGATCGAAAGCAACCGTCCCGAGAGATCTATCAGATATCAGATCCGAATTGACTCATATCAGATTCAGTTGAGGTTGTTATTGGGAGTTATTGGTTACTGGAAGTGCTGGAAGTGATAGCATAGCAAACAAACACTCTCACTCTTAACTATACAGGAATCAATTGCAGAATCTGACTTAAGCCTTGGACAAAACAAATCGGAAAAAGGCCATATTTCAGCATGGCAATGCTCGCCGACACACTGCTAAACTGACTCGCTCTACAACCAAGAATCTGGACTGGGAACTTCTCCCACACCATATTCCTCAGATTTAGCTCCATCCGATTACCATTTATTTCGATCAATGGAAAATGCCCTAGATGAAAGATGAAGATGAAAAAGACACCAAAAAATGGATACAGAACTACTTTGACTCAAAACGAAAGATTTTTTTACGATAGAAGAACTCGCCTTCTACTAGTAAAATGGGCACAGTTTATTGAAAAAGATGGAAATGATTTTGATTGATTTAGATGGATTTATTGAATAGATGTGAAATTGACTCACTTCTTCTCGGCCAACCCAATAAAATGACCATTTGCCCGGCTCTCTCATCTCTGATGGAAGATGCCCCTGTGAGAAAAATCGTTTAAATAAATAGAAATCGAAAGGCGAAAGGAGCTTTGCATTGTCAATATTGGAGCATCGAACCCAAAAAAAGAGTCAATGATTGATAAAAATAACTTTGAATTCAGCTGATTTCTTTGAACTTAGAGACTGTAGCTATTCTGACTGTAGCTATTCTAGACTGTAGCTATTCTAAGTGGCTAAAAATGCTCCCACTTCGTCACTCAAATAGCCATTTGAACTGAAAGAGACAATCCCCGTATTAACAGCTGTTCATTTGATTGTTTTTGACCGATTCAAAAAATGGAATCGCTCTCGGAATCCCTTTAGGTCCTTTTAGCTTTAGAATCCTTTTCAGTTTGGAAAACGAAATCAAATAACTTTTTGAAAACTTTTGAAAACAAAAGAAAACCTTTGATTTAGTAATTAGGTTTTGAACTTTGTCCACTTAAAATCCAACTAAAGGAATACAGAAAAGAAAGCGTTTTGATTCAGTTTTGCCACTCTCAAACTGCTCACGAAAACTACCAATCAACGACGAACACAACAGCCTCCTCTTTGACAGCAACTTGTCTTCTTGTTAAAAATGAAATGTTCTTTGGTCATCTTTTTATTTCTTTCTTTTCTTTAGGTAGTACTTCTCAACCGTGACAATAGCACACAAAAGTGTCAAGTCAGTTGGTTTCCCCATCAAGTCAATTGTGTTCAAAACGTTTCATCGAGATACACGACGATGTGTCTTCTTTTTGCGGTTTTGGTTGTTCCAAAAATCAAAAAAGCTAGCACAGTGGTGGTAAAACATCTCAAGTTCATAAAAAGTCTTTTAAAATGTTTTACGAAAGAAAGCACAAAGCTTTTCATAAAGCGGATGCAAACCCGCGGGCCGAAAGCAAAAATGCGGTCAAGAGCCCGCACGCTTACCACTACACCATTCGGTTAAATAGAAGGGAAAGAGCCGTTATAAAATCAGCCCAATGGGCCCCTTAACCCGTGTAAAAGCACGTTTGAAAATTGAGAGATGATATAAGCCTTCGCTTCATCGGAACTTGAAGATGAGTTGGCAGTCTAGTGGATACTGTGCTCGCCTTTGCAGCCTATGCTTCGGAACCTTTCGCGACCAAAGTTTTGGCTTTTTTTTGCAAAAATGATTAGAATGTTTTTTTTAGTTATTTATAGGGGTTTTATGAACAATTTATTTAATACACACTTCGAAAAGAGTCAATGAAATCTTGTACGCAATAATTAAGTCTGAAGTTTGAAGACAGTCTGAAGTCTGAAAACAATTAAGTTTGAAGTTTGAAGTTTGAAGCAAAAATTGCCCAGTTCATTTCATTTATAAACACAAGAATGGGGTACACTTTTCTGAGTTTTCCTATCGAAAAATAGTAAGCCAAAAAAGCAAAAACATTCTTCCGTTGCCGGGAATCGAACCCGGGCCTTATGGGTGAGAGCCATAAATCCTAACCACTAGACCACAACGGAATGGTGACCAGGGTTAGAAAAGGGTACTTGAGGGCTAATGGGAGGGAACTGTCACTTTTTTCGACAGTTCGACACGCCGATCCTTTTATGGCTGGGAATAAAAAACATGGTCGGCGCCGGGGTTCAAACCCGCCACCTCCGGCTTACTGGGTGAACACTCTACCAGTAAGCTATAGCTGCACGTCCATTGAGTCCAGGGTAGAGCCTTATGCCTCACTAAAGAAGTGTGTTTCTCTTTGTGCGGATCTCAAGAATGGCAACATTAAACAATGTCCTTTCGCGTGCTCAAAAGCGCATTTTCTATAGTTCTTTCTTTCTTCTCTTCTCTTTCTCTTTCTACCATTCATTTGTAAACACAGGGACGCACTTTCCTTGAGTTTCCCCCTTCGTAAGCCAAAAAAGCAAAAACATTCTTCCGTTGCCGGGAATCGAACCCCGGGCCTTATGGGTGAGAGCCATAAATCCTAACCACTAGACCAGAACGGAATGATGAGCGGGGTTAGAAAAGGATACTTGAGGGCTAATGGAAGGGAACTGTCACTTTTTATGTTTCAAAAAGTGACGGTTTGACTGGAAATGGCTTTGATAAGCAGCGATTTTTTGGTATCTGCAAAAACAGAAGGGAACGTTTCCAAAAAAAGTCAAATCTGATTGAAAAGAGAGAGAAAGAGGACAGGTTTTAGAAAACAAAAGAATATGCACAACTCATCATTATCATCGAGATCAAATTCTCAATTCAATTCGAAATCTCATGAGAATCGGCCGGCTGAATCGGGAATGAGTGGATCGGAATAGATTCTATAGGCTTTTAAAATTCAATCCGAGTAAATAGCTGTGATGGCTGTGATTTTCTCATCAATTACTCCGATCGTGGATGTCAACGGCTCAAGAAGCCATCTTTAGCTCAACGATATTTAAGATTTAACAAAAACCCTGGAAAGAAAGTTTTGAAGAGAACTTCAATTCACAATTTTATGGGATTCATTGATTCGAATTGTAGACATGATCGATCAAAGTCTTGAATTAAACCGATCATCGAACGATAATGAGCTAAGCTTTTTAGCTCGCTAAAAAGCTTCGATTCCCGTTCCGTTCGATTCGACTTTTCTGTCCGTTCGATCCGTTCGATCCGTTCGATTTTCCGTTCGATTTTTCCGTTCGATTTTTCCGTCCGTTCGATCCGTTCGATTTTTCGAATCCCTGTCATCAAATTGAGAAACAAGGAGTGACGCTCCGAGTTTTGCGTTTTGTAAATTTTCAAATGAAAATCGAGAGCTAAGCCGAATCTAAACGATTTTTTTGGCTCGGTTTTACAGATTTGGGGAAATTCTATTTGCAATGGGTAGATAATTGTCTTATTATTGCGTATAAGTTTGAGTTGACTCTTTTCAAAGTCTGTATTAAATAAATTGTTCATAAAACCCCTATAAATTACTGAAGAGCTAATATTATTGTTAAATTATTACATAATTTTTAAAGAAAATACTCCAGGCTTTTAAATAAACCAGATTAAACTTGATTGAATCACCCAATCATGAGAGAATCAAGAGACAAAGCGCTTAAATCGGATCGCATTGTTCTCTCGGTTCAGCTATTGTTTAAGTGATGATCGATCAAAGTCTTGAATTAAACCGATCATCGAGCGAGAATGAGCTAAGCTTTTGAAACTTTTGATCTATTCCTGCATTAAATAACAAATATCAAATTCCTCTTTTTTCTCAAATTCTGCAATTTTTGTGCTTAAATTTTCAGTTGCCCTAATTTTCTGAGCTCTTTACAATCCTTATCTACTTTGTGGAGGGATTTGTGGGGGCAAAGAAATTTCTCGAATTCTCGCAAAAAGCCAGTTTTTTTTATGCTCAAAGATTTTGCTTTTCAGTTCACAAAACTTTTACTTTAAATTTGGCTTTATTTTTTGAGACAAATTCTACATTCTCTTCAACTATTATGTCACTTAAACAATAGCTAAACCGAGAGAACAATGCGATCCGATTTTAGTGCTTTGTCTCTTGATTCTCTGATGATTGGGTGGTTCAGTCAAGCTTAAACTGGTTTATTTAAAAGCCTAAAGTGTTCTCTTTAAAATTATGTAATAATTTAACAATAATATTATCTCTAAACAAAGCTATGAATCTTTAAAGCATGATTATTCATTCAAAATTTCCAGCAATGTTTTCTTACAACGGCTCTTTGCCAAGCGGTCCACCAACTTTATCAAATAACGAATTGGATCCACAATATAGAGAACGGTACGGACAACAACACAATGAAGCTCATCGAGAGGTCACCATCACATATGTGACCTCGAATTTGCAAGAGGATGATCTCGATGATAATGGTGAGTTCAGCATATTCTTTTGTTTTCTAAAACGTGTCCTCTTTCTCTCCTTTCAATGAGATTTGACTTTTTTTGGAAACGTTCCCTTCTGTTTTTGCAGATACCAAAACATCGCTGCTTATCAAAGCCATTTCCAGTCAAACTGTCACTTTTCGAAACTTAAAACGTGATAGTTTCCCTCCCAGGGGCCGTCAAGTATCCTTTTCTAACCCTGCGGATCATTCCATTGTGGTCTAGTGGTTAGGATTTATGGCTCTCACCCATAAGGCCCGGGTTCGATTCCCGGCAACGGAAGAATGTTTTTGCTTTTTGGGCTTACGAAGGGGAAACTCAAGGAAAGTGCGTCCCATTCCTGTGTTTACAAATGAATGGTAGAAAGAGAAAGAGAAGAGAAGAAAGAAAGAATTATAGCGTTTTTTGAGCACGCGAAAGGACATTGTTTAATGTAGCCATTCTTGAAATCCGCACAAAGAGAAACACACTTCTTTAGTAAGACTCTACCCTGGATTCAATGGGATACGTGTAGCTATAGCTAACTGGTAGAGCGTTCACCCGGTAAGCGAGAAGTGGCGGGTTTGAACCCCGGTGCCGACCATGTTTTTTATTCGCAGCCATAAAAGGATCGGCTTGTCCAACTCTTTTAACACTTTGCTGGTCTTTGTATGCTAGTTTCTTTAGTTTCAAGCTTGTCAGGAAAATAGAAGAATTGTAAACTTTAATCATATCATCATCGCTCTATTTATAGCCATTAAAATGGTAAATCGTTCACAAAATTTTGATCATTATCTCCAATAAATTACTAGGTATTCCTTTTGAAATTGAATGGAATTGAAATGAGCTAGCTGGCTTCCAGAAATCAAACATTTGCTTTCAGAAATCAAACTCCAGAATTTTACGAGCCAAAATTCAAAACTAGGATTCTTTAGCTTTACAGCAATCAAAGTTAGTATTGCCATAATGAGTTTTAAAAAAAATTTCCCTTGTAGAAGTGTTCGGTGAATTGAAAAAGCGTCCACTTGACCGACCGGAGCACTCACGCGACACCTATGACAATCTATGGCCACCGAATTTCGGTCCAAGAATTCGGGTTTGTCAATATTATTATGAGAATTGTGATTGCTTGAAATTCTCTCAAAAATTAGTGATACTAAGTTTTTAAAGTTTTCGACGAACTCGTTTTGAAGATTTTCAACATCTGCGAACTGTCAAAATGATTAGTTTTCGGATTTATGAGCTCAGAATTGGGTGATTTCCATATTTACGAAAATATCCATATTTACGATATTCATTTTCGTAAATGAAACCCGGATTTCAAAGAATTTCATAAAGAATTGATTGTAAACGATAAAATTTCAGAGAATAAACCCCAGTCAGGCGAGTCTGGGCACGATTAGCCTCGATTCGGTGAGTTCTTTTGTATTTATGTCGAATTTAAAAGTGTTCAACTGTACTATTGTCTAGAAAGATTTCAATCGAAATATTTTCCTCGATCTTTTCAGGCTCCAGAGCTGCCACCGCGCCCATGTGCAACGAAAAGCTTTGAGGATCAATGTGTAAATTTGCATTGTTTCAAATTTAACCTACCCTAACTGCATAAAGTTAATGTAATTTAAAAGAAAGTTACCGTAAAAATTCTCATAGAAGACCATCGCCTTGATCCGCTGAAATCGAGACTTTTTGAAATTTCTTTTTAGGTAGAATGGGAGCTTTAGGGTTCAGATAGATAACACTTTTTTGTTCAGAAATGTCCAGAAAAAGATTTTAACTTTGAGATTTGCACGAAACGTCACTCTTGTGTATTGAATTTAACTATTAAGTTGGAAAAAAAGTTCTCGGAAAAAGTTTCACTCAAATTCCTTAAAAACGAATCCACCAATTCAAGAACATTTTCTTCTATTATTTACGAGTCAACTCCAAGAAATTACTCGTAAAAAAGAATGAGTGCAGCTTTCCCTTAATCATTTCATGAGAGATGAATCGGAGCATCTATTGCGAAGTATTATCGAGAGATTTCCCGATTTCACATCAGAGAGATTCTTTGATCAAACTTTGAGAAAACCCGATTTTAACCATTTCATCGAAACACCTCAATGTTCGGGCTACGACAAAAGTGAACCGAATAATTCGGACGGCGAAACACAATATTAGATTGGAAAGAAAGTTCTAGAGAAATTCAAGATTTTTGGAAAATGATTCCTTTTCCAGCTTAAATTCAGCTCACTTTTTGCACCAGAAAAACGATTCCTTATGAGGTAAAACTAGCTATAAATGAGCAATGAGCAATACGCTCTATTTTTGGCCAAAAATTTTTAACTGAGAAGCTTTTGCAAGAATAATTTGGGTGTCATCTTCTCGGCACTGAGTGTTTTCTTAAATAGGTGATTCTGAAAAGTGAAAGAATCAGATCAAATTTGCCTTGATCACAAATTTTCCCTGTTTTAAATACTTCATCTCAGGTTTTGAATGGGGCCCATTGCCTATCCATTAGCCCATTAAAAACTTGTCTAAAGGCTGGTCGCTCAAAAAGTGACCAAGTCACTTTAGTTGAAGAAATCTGATTTTTTTTGTCAAAAACTTTTTGAAATAGAGTCAAGTTTATCAAAAAATCAGGGGAAGAATTGATGGGTTGGTTTTCAAGAAATTCCAGTCAAACTTTTTCCGAGAACTTTCTTTCCGACCTAATACCACTTTGTTTGATGTACTGAAGTAACTATAAAGTAACTATAAAGTATGTGAGCATTCGTGGATTCGTTTTTAAGAAATTCTAGTCAAACTTCTTCCGAGAACTTTCTTTCCAACCAAAATAGGTTTCATCTTACTAAAATGTGCAAATGTTAATAAAATAAAACTCAGAAAGGTCGAAATCAAACAAAAACATTAGAAAATATAAGAGAAACAAGGCACTCGATTCAACGATTGATTTGATTTTCAAAGAGACCAAAAATTTCAAGTTTATATCATAATTTAATAGTCACGGATTTAATAGAATGTTTCAAAATTGTAAAGCACAGGCAGCCTATCCCTCTTATTCGAGATTTATTCAAAGTTAATCCCACGGTTAGTTCAAGGAGAGGTTCTTTCGTTTTAGAAATTCCAGTCACCTTGAATAAGTTTGTGTTTATATCATAATAGACTTATAATACGGTAATCATTACATTGGTATCGATATCAATTACATTGATCAATATCAATAAAATCGATCAAGACAATCATTACATTGATCAGTAACAATAAAATATCAATACCAATCTTACGAGCATGCAAAATTTTAGTCTCTATTTATTTTGTTGAAATTGAGTCACTTCAGCTGAAGAAATCTCTTAATTTTTACCTGAAGTCACCAACGGAATTCCAGTCAAACTTTTTCCGAGAACTTTCTTTTCAACCTAATACCACTTTGTTTGATGTACTCAAGTACTATAAAGTAACTATAAAGTATGCACCAAGCAAACTGAAAGCCTTAATTCTGATTTCGAGCCCGATTTTCCTAATTTTCAAGACTAATAGAAGACTATTCAATTCGATTTTTTACGGTAACTATTAAATCTAAAAGTTTATTTCAAATTTAAATAAAAATTGAGAATTTCGAATAAACTTGGAGACAATTTCAATTTGAAACCATTTTAGTCACTCTATCGAGAGGGTTGGCCTGCAAGGAAACACTATTGGAAGGTAGACATAGGCACTAGAAACTACAAACGTAAACTACAAATGTAAACTACAAACACTTATAAGTTACTTTAAATCTGCCGGACTGACATGATCTATAGCTCTAAAAATAGAGAATCTCAAGAGCTTTCGAATAAACTAAAGCACATTCAAAAATATCAATGCTAAAGAAAGCTACAGTGGTTTGTCGACCTGACTCGGTCGCTTCGACTACGCTTCTAACTTGCTTCAAACCACTGTAACTTTCTTTAGCATTGATATTGTTGAATATGCTTTAGTCCATTCGAAAGCCCTTGAGATTCTCTATTTTTAGAGCTATAGATCATGCCAATCCAGCAGATTTGAAGCAAGTTAGAAGCATTTGTAGTGCCCATGTCTATTGAAAGGTGGGGAAGTTCTGTGGTTCGGTTTTGTGGTTCTTCATTTTAACTTCGATTGGAGGTTTCCATTGCTAACACAATATTGATTGGGAAAATTGCAGGTTTAATTTGTAAATCGTAAATTTCAGCTCTTCACCAGTCTCCTCGCTTTGGTCTCGTGTACCCTGTCGGTGGTGAATTTGGACTTTTACGTGCGATTGCTCAAGAGAGTTCAAACAGAGTAAGTTGGGGTCTGAGCCCTCGATCCACCGATTTCTAAGCAGATGCTCTACCATTAAATTATTGTCACTTTTCTTATCCCAAAAAGTGTAAGACTAAAGTTTCGGTTTCAAGTTATTCGGTTTCAAGCTAGTTTAATGAACCTGGTTCTTATCAATCGCAAAATTGGATAGGTTTGGCTACTTCTGAGTAAAAACCACTCCTAATTATGCTTAAACTGGATAATAATGATTAAAATAAGGGGATTTTAAGTATTAACTATCGTCATGAAACTTCATTTTATAAGCTATCGACCGGGAAAAGAGTTATAAGTAAGCCAGAACTACTTGTGAACTAATTCAAACGAAAATGCGGCTTTGTTTCATGTACAGTGGCTCGAAAAAGAGTCACTTGTGCCTGGGTAAATGAATTAGAATGTTAACTCTCTCATTTCAGTAAAATCCCGGCCGGTGATGGCGGGGAAAAGCTTGCAGTGAGCATGCTCATTTTCGCGATCACTTTACTATTGCTGAGCATTTCCGGCTCCGTGGCGGCCGTGTTGGCGATTTGGAGACGCAACGAGTTGTACATGTCGATGTTTCAACTCCAATTGGTTCGCTAAAACCATAGAATTCTAAAAGAAAATGCAAGAAAACAGAGAAACGGAAAATCCACTATCAGCATTTGAAATATTGGGTTGGTGAATTGAAAACTGCGGGACTTTGAACTAAAATTTATTCACCTAAAACCATCAATTCATTGCAAATAATTTCCATTATTATTGACGACTTCTGCCCATTTTACAGGCAATTTGCGGATTCCTCTTTCGTGGTAGGATTTTGGTTTGTGTGTGAGACAAGTGTGAGACTCAAAAATCGAGGACTGGAGAGATGTCCCAGTTTGAGCACTTTCTTCAAAAGAAACCCATTTTGGTGTCAATAGAAAAGTTGTAGAGAATCAAGAATTAGGCTTATAGCCAAATTTTCAAAAAGATACACTTAGTAGTTTCGCTTAAAATGCTAGTTTTGTGGAAATTCTTAAATTTGGCATTTCCTGAAAAGCAGTTTTTGAATCGTTCTGAAAATTTGGCTATAAGCCTAATTTTTGATTCTCTACAACTTTTCCATTGACACCAAAATGGGTTTCTTTTGAAGAAAGTGCTCAAACTGTGACATATGACAATAGCCGGCAGTTTTCAGTTCACCAACCCAATAGATATAAACGCTTAGAGTTGAGAAACATTCAAATTTGCATACAATTTTTTAATTGTGTGAACTTTGAGTGAACCAAAAAATCGTTTTTTCAACCAATTTTTTGTCTATTCTACTGCGAAACTCATCCAAATTCAGTTCATTTCATCGGTGATCTACTTCTGCAACTTGATCGTTCGTTTCACTCATCCACAATTGACATCAATCGTCTTCCCTCTTGGAATTATGGTTTTCCATATTGGATTGGGGCTTCTTTCTGAAAAAATGCGGAAAAAGATGAAGATTTGCGAATGTTGCTATTGATTGATGCATGTGGAGTAATGTCACTGTTCTGCAGACAGTTAAACTCAATAAACAAGTTAAAATTCAAAGTCAAAGTCGATGGATAAGATACCGTAATCAGTTACTAGACGATATTACAGTTACTAGACGACGATCAATTACTAGACGCTTATTGTAACTTAGTAGACTTTAAAAGCCCATTGTAAGCTTTGCATTCATTCGGTTTGAGCTCCTTTTTTCTTCATTTCTTCAATTGATTGCAATTGATCAAGTTTGAAAGTTTGTCTCCAGAAGAAAAGTGCTCCACTCTTCATTTTTGACTTTGCAAGTATTATATAGTTGTGATAATTGCTCAATTTTGAGCAAACTTTACCATAATAAGGGAAAGTTTTGATAAATTATGTGTTTCCAAGGCATCTACTATTGAACCACACTGAGACATGGGCTAACAAGAAAGTACAAAGCGCAAAGTATATTTCTCTGTTGGATTTCTCAAAGAAATTCCCAAATTTCAAGATCTTCAATATTCTTTAATATTGAAATATTGAAGAATATTGAAATTGGGGAATTCCTTTGAGAAAACCCAACAGAAACTTTCTCTTTCTGCTTCAAATTCTTCTAATTTTAAGCAGAAGGAGATTTCCGTGACACAAGCTTCTTTCTTTGTCTTATCACAACAATAAGCAAAATTTTTTCTCAAGAAATTTCTCCCAGTTTCCTTCTAACATTTTATTGATTCGTCACCTCTTTTCGCAAAAATAAAAACCAAAATAAAAGCCATTTTTCTAAAAGCCCTTTTCTATTTTCAAGTTTCAAATTTGGAAAGTTTCAATGAAATTTTGAAATCTTAATCGACTACTGGGTCTTGTTTTATTTAAAAATCTAAAATTATTAAATATTTTTCTCATAACTTTTTATTGGTAGGTTATAATTCTTTTGAATTGAGCTACCTTGTTGAAATTGAAACTTGATTTTTAATTCTTTTACAAATTTCTCACAAGTTGACTAATAGCAATGCTTTTTTACAATTTAATAACTAATAGCAATGCTTTTTTTACCAAAAAATATTCTTACCCTAAAGTCGCGAGTCTAAGTTCTGTTTGGTTTTCGCATGCAAATTGACGGCTGTCTCCGGTGCGGTGTGTCGAGGGTTCGAACCCCGCTGCAGCATAACTTTTTTGCTTTTTAAGAACAATAATAGAAGTAAATTTATTGGGGGTTATAGCAATTTTATGCTGTTATTTGTTGCTCCGGGCGTGGCTCGGCGCGTCCGCCCTGCTCCTCTCCGGTGCTCAGTCTTATGGATCCCTCCCTGGCCTCTTCATCCGGCCAAAGTCCACGACGACGGTCGAAAGAGATGCTTTCCAGCGTCTTCTTCAACACTATCGTCTGGATGTATCCATGCACATAACAAATAGCAATGGTGCTAGGCTGTCACCCTGTAGTACCCGCGCTCCAAGAACAATAATAAAAGTTTATATAACAATAAAAATGTATAAAAACCCAACAAAAAGAAATTCAAAGCAATTAAAGCGAATGTAAATTAAGGCAGAACTTATACTCGGATCAACTTATACTCGAAACTTTAGGGTAATAAAAATTTAAAGGCTATATTTTCTTAAAAAGAAAGTACAGAAACCCATTAAAGTCTCATTTTCACATAAAGAATCGAAAAAATTGAAACAATTATTTTTAATCATTGATACGAAATTAATTGATAACTTTCTTGTCAAATTTGAAACATGCGAAAGTTTTTTTTCTATTTACAAACTTCTAAGCAAGCTTTTAGTTAGATTCGAGCTCAAATAACATATTATTTTCAGGGAAAAGTAAAAAAAAAAGCTATTTAATTGCGGAATCAAAGCCGTCAAAGTAGCAACATTTTGCTAACCTCCTTGCTCAATTTTCAAAAACTCAACTTCTCTCTAAAATAAATCTTTAGAAATGGCTCCATATGGACAGTCTTCTTCAAGTGGATACTATCATGGATTCGCCTATTTGTATCTAGAAACTTTATGCTTTAGAACTTTATGCTTTCAAACTGTTTGAGAACTTTGCTTTAGAACTTTATGCTTTAGAACTGCTTTAGAACTTTACGCTTTAGAACTTTATGCTTTAGAATTTTATGCTTTAGAACTTTATACTTTCAAACTGCTTTAGAACTTTGCTTTAGAACTTTATGCTTTAGAACTGCTTTAGAAATTTGCTTTTGAACTTTATACTTTGGAATTTTATGCTTTGTTTTTAGAGTAACACAGTATTATATTCAAAAACTCAAATTCTCTCTAAAATAAATCTTTAGAAATGGCTCCATATGGACAGTCTTCTTCAAGTGAATACTATCATGGATTCGCCTATTTGTATCTAGAAACTTTATGCTTTAGAACTTTATACTTTAGAACTTTATGCTTTCAAACTGCTTTAGAACTTTGCTTTAGAACTTTATACTTTAGAAATGACTCCATATGGACAATCTTCTTCAAGTGGATACTATCATGGATCCGCCTATTTGAGAGATTCTAATCAAAACGAAAATCAGCAAAATCAGCAAAATTTTCAATATTTCGAGTCACCAAACTATACAACGAACAATCTGAATCCATATTTATACCATGAAACGCCGAAGCCCGACTATTCGGATTCGGACGAGGACGAGGAAAGAGTGATGGCTGATAGGGGTGAGCTGAAAACTAAAATGTTATATAATTGTATCTAGAAAGTTTATGCTTTAGAAATTTATGCTTTAAAACTGCTTTAGAACTGCTTTAGAACTTTATACTTTGGTTTTAGAGTAACACAGTATTATATTGTGCGAATCGAACTGACTCGTAAAACTTGAAACTTGCCCTTTTATTTCTAAGTAAATTCTAAGTATTAAATTTTCTTTCTTTTTCTGCTTCTTCTTCTTTCTTTCTTTCTTTCTTTCTTTCTTTCTTTCTTTCCTTCTTTCCAATCGCAAGATGATCCAGTGCGGGTTTTAGCAGATAAACCTCATTGAATCATCATCATCTTCTTCTTTCTTTCTTTCTTTAATCGTTTTGAATGTAATTTTGAAGAAGTAACTTAAAGGTTAGATAAAATGAACCAAGAAAAAGTCGCTAAAAGTTTGAATTGAAAATGAAAAATGTTTTATAAAGCTGAGACAACCGGAAATTGTGAGAACTGAGCGGTCGCATCAAGCATTAAACATTTTGAAACATTTAAGTTCTTCACGGATTACCCAAAACCATTCCACAGCCAGAGTTTCGTCCATCGCTCAGCCACTCGGATCACTCGTTTCCACATCGACCGAATGGGCATCTGGTAAAGAAATATAAAGAAATCTAAAGTAAAATGAAAATATTGGAGAAAGTTACTGTTTGTAATGATTGTCATTTACAAATCATTGAATTATAAATTTTAGCGACTCGATTCCCAGGCCGAGGCGTCGAAAATGTGGCATCGGAATGGCCGAGGACGATCAGATACGATCTCGCTCACGGATGGGCTCTATTCAATAGAAGAGGTGCTTTTTAATTTCAATACCGTATTTTTCCTAATAGTATGCCATGCCCAAAGGAGCGTTGAGTAGTCGTAAGATTTTTGCATTGATTTTTGCGTAAGTGATCTTCCTTTCAGCTCGTCTAAAAACGTGCACAGGTAACCGATTTACTTAAGTTAAGGGTCAAAATGAAGAGAAATCTTCACAGATCATTTATCCGAAAAGAGATTAAAGAAATATTGAGTTTGAAGGAAGTTATGAATGTTTTAGCATAAGGAATTTCCCCGGGCCAGCGCTGGCCGTTGATGGTTGCATTCAAAGGCTCATAACTCTCTTCAAAGTGAATATTTTTTTCAAACAGCTCCCAGATAAATGATCCTCAAAGATTTCTCTTCATTTTGACTTCTAAATTCAGTAAATGACTTGCCTGTGAACGTTTTTCGACGAGCTGGAAGGGGAATAACTTAGGCAAAAATCAAAAAACCGAACGTGAAAGTGTTAAGCCGTCAAAGTTCAATTTTCGATTGGATTTCGCTTTTCACAGATTGGTAAACGATCCACTAATTCATTTGTTTTAGAATGCAAAATAGAATTCGCATTCCAAATTTTCAGACATCTCGACAAATGCGTGGGATCCCCACCGCTCCAGAGGGTCCACCACCGCGGCGGCCAACCATCGAAAATTGTGTAAATTTCAAAGAGATTTCAAAGATTTCAACCTATTTTTGCAAAAAAGAGCTCTAATTTTTCTAATTTAAAGCGTTGAAAAGAAAAGGCGCTTTAAGAGCTGATCAAAAATCAATTTGGGATCATTTACCGTATTCTCTCTAATAGTAGTGCACCGCAGCGAGCCGAGTTGATGACTATTTTACGGCTTTCAAAGCTTTCACAGAAGCTCAGCACTCAAATCCCCCACAAGATCTCATTGTCAGCTACATTTTCCGATCCCACATCGATAGGTTCTGATAAGCGGTTCTAGAGATTTCGAGCAATTTAGGCAGCGCTCTGGGTGCACTACTATTAGAGAGAATACAATAGTAATAGTCAGTAGCTTTGAATTCTAAACAAACAGTAAAGTTCTTGTTCTAAAAATATACTCAGTTTTATTTGTATCATTGATGCGCACATAGTGTACCCCGTTTCACAACATTTTCTCTTTATTGTTTGTCAAAGTTTTATACAGTCTAGGAGTTGTGAATTTTTAGAAATGGAGAGTCGATTCAACCAAAAATTTACGCACACATAAGCTAAATTCGATATCCGGTTTAGATTGAGTCTAAACCAGATAAAAATCTAAATAGAATATAACATATACCTTATCTCTATAATAGTAGTGCACCCCAGCGAGCCGAGTTGATGACTATTTTACGGCTTTCAAAGCTTTCACAGAAGCTCAGCACTCAAATCCCCCACAAGATCTCATTGTCAGCTACATTTTCCGACCCCACATCGATAGGTTCTGATAAGCGGTTCTCGAGATTTCGAGGAATTTAGATGAAGCTTAGGGTGCACTACTATTTGAGAGAATACGGTAGTTTGTAAAAACACGGAAACGCCCTAGTCTATGGTATGAAAGTTTTCCTATATTAAAAATACTGTAAAGCCCAATATTCAGAATCTTTTACAGTATCTCAGGCCTATGTACACTACTGGACAATGAAATATCATATTTGAAAAAAGATCGTCACTTTCGTGCGTCTGTAACTCCCTTGCCTTTACCGTATTTCTAAATATTAGTATTACCATTGTGCAGCCCTTGAAAAGAGCTTTCAGAAAATGTATAACACTAATAGTTTAAACTCAAAGACAAGGGAGTTACAGACGCGCGAAAGTGACGATCGTTTTTCAAATATGATATTTCATTGTCCAGTACTGTACTTAAAAATTTTTGTTCAATTCTGCCGTCTTGGCTAACGTTCCAAGGATCAAGGGTTTGACCTAGGGAAATTTTCGGACAAATATTGTGGTAGAAGAGATGATTTCTAAGAATTTTTCATTACAAGACGCTTACAATCCAAGACGCTACTATTAGAGAGAATACGGTAATCAGTAAATCAAAAAATCAGCAAATCAGCTTTTATGGAAATTTTAAGAAAATCGATTAGCTACGCCATTATATTTGCAAATGTTAGAATTCTTTTTCTAACTCACTTTTCAGAAACTCAAACTCAATGATTGGGAAAAGAAGAGGACTTGGTGGAAAGTGAGTGATGTTCGCTAATGTTCGTTCAATTCTTCAAGAATTGCTTTGTTTTGGAAGCAGTAAAAATTTCAGAGTGGGCTCACCATTGTCGCTTCATTTTGGCTCGTTTTCGCTGCTCTCAATCTTTTTGCCTACATCGAAATGTATGAAAATGTGAAGAAAGGGTGAGTTGGGGTGTTATTTTTTTGAATTTGATTTTTTTTCTTTTGTTTTAAACAAAAATTGTTAAGTTTTCATGTAAATAATGGAAATTTCCTTTCTAAAACACAAATTTCATTAAACTAACGTAATCAAACCGCGAGTTTTCATTCAATGAGCCGAATTTCGGTGTCATTCGATAGGAAATCGCAAGTCAATCGCAATCGCAGTCAATAAGACCAAAAGTCAATCGCAAACGCAGTCAATAATACGAAAATTCAAATCAAAGAAAAATGGCGGTTGGATTACAATAGTTCACTGAAATATGTCTGTTTTAGAAA